TAATGCAGTTACTGTACACTGATCTCAAATACATTTAGGTTATTGCTGTTTTAAAGTACATTTAATATTTGTTTTCACATTATGTAATCTATTTCGTGTATACACCAATCCCTCTTGCAGCAGAAAACATACACATCATAATGCAGCCACTTTTGTACTTTATTGTTAAGAAGTTTTCAGGTTTGCAATTGTTTCTTCTTTAGTAGTAGCTTTATTTATGCCTAATATGACCAAATGCACTGATTTTAAGTTAAATAAACTATAGGGCACAATAAAGGACAGAAGTTTTTTTTGTAAATGCAGTCTTGTTTTCTTGCTTTGTTTTTAAGTAAATAGTTGGGGGGAAAGCATCTGTCATAATTCTAGTATTCAACAAATGCAGGAAGCTGATGATTTAATATCAGTGTAAAGGATTTGTCATTATATTGTGTATGTTAATATCTACTTTTTAGTTCATTATTGAATAAGTAAAGTAAATAGTATAGATTAGTTACATATTTTATTTTAATCATAATTATTTTCCGTGGTAGCAAATTTTTCCATTTGCTTCTTTAGAGCAAATTGAAACATACCATGTACGACTGGAATTTTATACCATACCAATAAAAAAAACTGTTTAATACAGAAATACAGTCTAAATACATAGGAGATTTAATATCTGGCTTATCACTATGCATCTCTTATTTAATAAATGTGATTGTGATGTACCACATGTGTAAAGTCTAACTAACAAAAGCAAAAAAATAATAAACTATCGTCTTTAACTGCCAACGTTTCAACGCATCCTAAGAGCTCCCCTTAATGAAGGAAATCATAGAACTTGTATATAAAGTGCCTTTTCTATCCGAACATCGTTGAAGTTGTGATCATCTTATTGTGGTAAACGTTGTTTTGTTGTGGAGTGTCTTGGTTGAGAGAAGCTTATTCAACCGAACCTTTGTAAGATAAGCGTGTCTCGAACATTTAAATGCTGGAGATGCTGTCCGTCTTTGCAAAAGGCTTTTGATCAGAGGGCTCTTCCAAAGGGTCATCCTGGTAATTGGCTGTTAACTGTATGTGTTGTCTCCCTCATAATAGCCCCTATTCATCAGATGTTTTCTTTGATCTGCGAGAACAACAAATTTACAAATCAAAGTCTGCTCTCCTCCTTTAAGTAGTTAAACTTTCATGCTAGTGTGGGATGCGTATATTCAATTGCACACTCTCTCCTGAGAATTTCTATGTATATCCCTGAATGGACATCACTAAATATACAGTACGTACGTCCCAATAGATGCACGTTCCAGGAAATGAAATGCTTTTAGACTGATGTGCTGTTTTGAAATAACTTACAGCTTATGTAATGGTTCATGCTTTCTGTCAGGGAGAAGAGTGAGGTTTTGGCTGCAGAATGGGTTTGACGGCACTTCAATCAGTTTTTGCTCTCAACTCATCCACTGAGTGAATACTGGCTCTGTCTGCTGATCTTAATGACTGAAACGCAATGTCAGATTACCGCCAGACCAACAATAGCAATGTTATTCATTATCACCCGTAGCCAGGGTGAAACACTGGTATTGTGCCTCTGTCCGCTATACTATTATTTTTTGGATACATAAATTCATACCTCAGGGTTGAATAAACCTGAAACTTAAGAAAGCTAAACAGATATAAATTCCTTCTTAAAATGTATAGATTCTGGTCTTGTGAGGTGGTTATGATTAAAAATTCAAATCACAATAAATATTTAACTGTTTTTGAATGCTTGACCAACCTAAAATGAAAGAAATTGAAAATCAGAAGGAAAGAATGTAAAGTTTCATTTTGTCATATCTGATCAGTTGATGTTCATCTATATTTTGTTGCTTCTCAGAGGAACAGTTTTGCAGAATTTTGGCTTAAATCAATATCACAAATTGCAGAGATCGTTTTAGCTGCTCTGCCAATTTTGCTTTTTTTTAATGAAAAAACCTGCTAATAGAATGTATTGCATTGGACAATAGGACAGCTTTAGACTGAATCTATTTTTTTTTTCAGCAGTAAGGATGTGCATGCACAATTTGCTTCTTGCACAAAATGCATTTCTTAAACATGGAAGCACAGCTGTACAGGATGATGTTTTTCTTTTCACCTTATTCCATCTTATAAATCACAGTCCTAACTTCTTCTTTCTACTCTTAACAAAACCGTTTTATTTTCATTCCTGCTTTATGTATCTGTCCGTTACTCTTGGATGTTAAACATTCTTATTATACCACATACCAAATATTTAAGAGTGCTGAAGACATTTGTTTACTTAGCTGTTCTTTGCAGAAGTTAAATACCTTTTTCCCACTACATACCATTGCAGCATAATAACACATACCTGAAGCTTTACTAAGACTGTATTAGAATTACACTTAAAACCCTCTTTTAAATTTATGAAGAGGATTATCTTTGTGTTGCTGGAATCTGATTAAAGATTGCAGCATTTTAACCAACTTTTAGCAAAGTTACTTTACATTTTTTTCTTTATTAATTCATTTTTGCAGTATGAATTTAAAATGCTCTATTATTAATAATAATAATAATACATTTTATTTAACAGTGCCTTTCTGGACACTCAAGGTCACTTTACAGAAAATAAAAATGAAAATACAAAAAATACAAATACAGGAACATAAAAACAGTTATACATAGGGACAAGAGCAGTGTATTCACAAATAAGCGAGCTGGAACAGATTCAATGAATGTGGAAAAGTAAAGAATAAAAAGTAAAGCTATTATAAGGTTGTCTGACCTTTGAATTTACATATGGTGTATAGATTCTAGAAAAAAATCAACAACTTCTTTTTTGCTTTAATCCCAGCTCAACCTTCACCCTACAGCTTTTGCGCGTACATTATTTTTACAACCCTTTTTTCAGGACACCAGATCACTGTCCAATTATCATGTTTATCACAACCATGCGTGGAAATTCACACCACAAGCTCCTGTTTGACTCTAAAGGGCATTTCAGATACAGCACACAGCTGTTTTTAATGTTCTGGGTTCTTGTGCAACTGTGTTCGTCACCTTCCCAGTTCATTTCAATGAACAGGTCTAAAGCCACTGAGGTTGACTTAGACTCAGTAGTGCCCAAATGAATCACAGTGACAGATATTGTTTCAGGATTATATTTCATAAAGAACTTTGTCAGCATCAGTGCCAGGGCGATCCAGAGTTGTTTTCCTCAGCTACATTTGAGCAGCAGGGGACAGGTGTAAAAAAAGAAAAAAATCTTGCAGTAATATGAACCTCTTATAGTCTCCTCGGGATGCTTCATGCTCACATGAACACAATTTTAGGATAGTCCCATGTGCTACGTTGGTTTGCTTTATCACGTTTTAGTTTTTGAAAACAATAATTTGCATAACCAGTCGTGGATGGAATTGTTGGTCATTTTTACAAGTGTGAACGCGTTTTACCTACATATTGTTTTATCTACAATGTGGAGGAAGTATTTTGTAAAATATCCTTCATGTGGGGACTTGCAGGTACATATGTGGACATTCAATTGGTCCCCATATGGTAAAGTTCTGTCCTGTGAGTTAGGGTAAGGCCGTATAAAATGAATGAATGTCAATGAAATTTCCCCATATGCATGAAAACACAGCTGGGTGTGTGTGTTTGTATGTGTGTGTGGAGGTGAAAGGAGGAAATGCGTGGAATTTTGATCACTTTATTTCAGTTCCTGCATGAATACCTCAAAAGGCATGAGCCATATTTTGTCTCAGAAATGCAGGTAAGACATCTTAAGTGCTAAAAAAAAAAAAAAAAAAAAAAAAGCCCTTTCATTTAGCACTGGATCTTATTATGTAAATTAGAAACCCAGTTCAACCTGTGGCTTAAAGTGGGATTGAACTATATAAGAGAGGTTAGAAAACTCACATTCTGTATAGAGTTTCTTTTGAATAGAATTTCTTCTGTGATTTATTTGGTTGTAGCTTTTTTCTAGAGATGTTAATAGTGTTTGGAGACCCGGGCTCAGCAGAGTATTGTGTTAGGAGCCTGGATGCAGGTCACAGAAGCTTATCAGAGGTGAATACACCAGAGTAGCCAGTGTGCTAGCTGACCTGTCTCAGTGGTACACTGTTGATGTATCCTTTACCCCTGACAAAGACTGGCAACCCCCCCCATGTCGGTTCTTCACCGTCATCCTCACATTTCAGAATCTGTTCCCCTCACCAGCTGTGACCTTTTTTCAGTGGGGTCAGCAGAAAGTGTGAGCTAGAATTGGTGTGTTTGAGAGCACACAAGGAATGGGTTGGGTGGTGGTGGGGGAGTCTGTGCCTGTGTGTTTGGACAGGGGAAAGTGGAGGCAGTGGAGACGGCATGAAGAGGGATTGTCGCCTTGGTTCATTGAAATAGGTCGCTCTATCTCTGGGAGTTCACAGCTCACACAGACAGTGATTGTCAGATAGTGGTGGCACTTCAGCTGAATTGAATTTGCTCCCGCTGAATCAGGAACATATGTTTGGGTTTTGGATTTGCTGCCCATTTAGGACATCAAATCATCCCTTGAACTTTATTTTTAACCTTTTCTTAAAAAAGAAGATACTATTGTGGTTTATGAAAGATTTTCTAAATTTCCTCTCTTTTTATATTCCTACGCTTTATAGCAGAGCTGACTCCTCTTAACCTGGACGATTTTTGATGAAAGAGCACAGAGGTTTCTTCTGCCGGAAATGGTGTTCCTACCCATTGTTTTTACTCTAAGTTTGAGCTTTTTTTCACTGTGAAAGATGGATTCTTGGAATACGGATTCAGAAGATTCATGTGACTGGGGCGACTCTTCTGAAGAAGAAGATGAAATCAGTGTCACATACGATAAAGAGTAATGCCCCTCCTGCGAGGATGTGTGTTGATTGTCGGAAATTATTCTTTTACTGACCACCAGTTAGCTTAGATAAACATTATTTAACTATATAGTAAATTGACTTGCTGTTTGAAATGCTGGTTCAAAAATGCTAAATTTTCTTCCTGTATTTTATTTTCTTTAGGGAGGACATCAGAACAGCCAGTGTCCTTGCAGCAGAAGCAGTCACCTGTTTGGTTATCGATCGAGAGTGAGTAATAATCCTTATTCTCTTTTGCACTGTTGGTTAGCTTATTAATTCTGCTTCATTCTTCCACTAAGGTCACTGTCCTGCGTAGAGACCCCCTCTATACCTGTATTTATAACAATACTATCGAGATGTCATTGTTTTGTATTTGAAAGTTAAAAAAAAGGAAAGCAAAATTCTTACATTTTAAGAGAGATTTTTTAAAATACATTGCCAGTTTAATTAAATGATCTCTTTAAGTTCAAAAACTGAAAGTCGTACAGACTTATATATACATATATATACATATATATATATATATATATATATATATATATATATATATATATATATGTGTGTGTGTGTTATTTTTAGTCTTATTTCTCCTACACATAAAAACAAATTTATTTTTTTTTACATTTATTTTCTTTAAGTAAAAGCAGAGTAAGTTGGTGTGGTCCATCTGGCCTCTGAACACAGGTGCATAGTAAGAGAGTCATCCAGCATGAGTGATTACTGCTGCCTGTCACACAAGCAGCACAGCTTTCACAGCTCACAAAGCCAGACTAATGCCTGTGTCACCCAGCTAGGCCGGTTTTGGTGCAGGATAATTGTTTTTCAATCTTTGTTATTCTGCACGCTTTTATTCATTTTCAGCACACCCATGGATGCTTTAAAATGAAAGCAGCACAGCTTAAGTGTTAGACAAGGATAACAGCTGTAGAAAAGAGAGACATAATAAAGACAAGTAGCAGGGAACCGCTGACTCCCTGCACGTTGTACCTTCATCAGCTCGACACTGAAACAACATTTTCTTTTAGACTCATAGGGTTCTGTCTTAACAGGAGAAGATTCCAACGTCTGGTTATTTTTATTGACGGCTCAAACAGGTTTTTTTTTTTTTATTCCTCCATTAGATGCTATTTTACAGTGATCTTAAATGATGATCTGAAGAAAAAGAAAAAAACACCAGTGATACTGGACTGTACATAACGCATATCTTTTTGAAGTTGCAAGTCTTTCGGATTTTATTACAGAGGAAATAATTTTTTCTATGTACTAAGTTAAAACTCCTGCTGTGTTTATTGTTATAACATATTGAAATAATACCGTCTCATTTCTTATAGTCGTATTACATATTTATTCTTAATAAACAGGATAAAATGACAAACTACTAGAATCTTAAACCTCATGATAATTTCTATAATGTCAGTAGTTTTTCATGTCATTCGGAACCATAGGGTTTATTTAAATTTAAGATTTAATCTGTCAAAAATCTATGTGCTCTTTATTGTTTTATCTTGAGCTTCCCACTGACTTACCATCTGCAGTCCCTTTTTTTCTTACCTCCTTGGCACAGATAAGCCTCCTCTGCTGTGATTCTTTTAGAAGATTGTCACTAAAAGCAGGCTGATGAATTTTTAATAGTAACTGGCAGTGCTTTTTTACAGCAGTGTAATCATTCACTGCTATTGGATAGCTAGTAGTATACAAACTCTACCTTACTGTTCCCTGTTGCCTGAAACTATAGAAATATTATGTGCAGTTAAAGGGAATTTTGCTTAATAATTAAGCTTGAATAGATTGTGACAGTGTCAGATATTCATAAAGTTTTGTCAATTATTTAACAATTTCCTATTAATTTTTTAGTTCATTCAAGCACTTGATTGGAGGTTTAGAGGATGTTTCCAATAAAGGCCATGAGGATGCTGACGCCAAAGCCAAGTAAGTGAAATATCAGAAATTGATATTAGAAAAATGTATACTGTATGACATTATTCACCAATAAGCTGTTTGTGTCACACTGCTGTTAATGTCTTTCGTGTGTTTATTTCAAATCTAAGTTTCATTTAATAAAGACTCTCTAAGGATTTCAAACTAAGGTTGACCTTTTTATGATTGTGCTTCTCGCCATGTTGAGTAACAATACAAGGGATTTAAAAAAAACAGGATATATTTCTTTAAGTTATTATGTATTTATTTTTATTGTAGAACCAAGATAAGCTTTAACTGCAACAATAATGAAAATGATCGAAGCCCTACTCAGCAAGCAACCGAAATATTTACCTAAATGCTTGTAACTGTATTATTATCTGTTTGCATTTAATTATGATTTTCATCTAAATTTTTGTAACAATGTCTTAGATTTTATCAGCTTTGATCCTGTTAATAGCTAGTCAAGATATTTTAAGACATACTTTTCTAATGTTTAGGGATTTTAGAAATCAAACCACTTTACTCTGTTTAATTTAATCTCTAAATCAGATTAGAAATTTCCAGGAGAATTCTGCCTGACACCAAAATACATTTTTGATGGAATTTTGATGTATTGGCTAGACACTAAATGCCACTCACGGACAAAATGTTACTGCCCCTCGTTAAATAAAAGAAAAGGATGGTCATGGAAAAATTTAATCTGACTAGAATATTAAATAAAAGACAAACATTGCTCTTATACTATGCTTAAACAGTATCACTTTAAAATATTAACCCATGAAAACATACCCTGGGATGGACTGGCAACCTGTCCAGGGTGTACCCAGCTGGAGATAGGCACCAGCACCCCCACTTGGGATTAAGCGTGCTTGAAAATGGATGGATCGATGAACCCATGAAACAAGGCCTGGACAAAAATTATGTTACTCTGAAATTAATAATTTGTTGCTCAACCTTTAGACTCAATCACTGTAAACAAACAACTATTCCTTTAATTCAGTGGTCTCCAACCCTGGTCCTCAAGATCTACTGTCCTACAGATTTTAGATGCATCCCTGCTTCAACACAGCTGAATCAAATGATTGATTACCTTTTCAAGCCATTCATTTGATTCAGCTGTGTTGAAGCAGGGATGCATCTAAAATCTGTAGGACAGTAGATCTTGAGGACCAGGGTTGGAGACCACTGCTTTAATTGTAAAGGAAACTTTTGCACCTCAGCGGGTATTCTGGTCCACTGCTCAACTGAATAAACTGCTCAAGGTTTGAAGCCTGCCTTTTCCAGATGACATGTTTCAGCTCCTTCCAAAGAAGCTTGATAACATTTAGCCCAGGGTTCATAGAGGGCCACTTCAAAATATTTCAATGTTTTCTTCTTAGTCATCCTTGGGAGTTTTTAGCTATGTGATTTGGATCATTATCCTGTTAAAGACACATGTTCTTCAACTGAGACTCAACTTTTCGACACTGAGCGGCACATTTCTCTTTAGAATCCCTACACCAGGGGTCCTCAAGTCCAGTCCTAAAAAGCTACCATCCTGTAACACAAATCCGATTTTTTCCAATGCGACCCAGGCCACTTGGCTGTGTGGTCTTGTATTCGATATGAATCTGATCTTTTCAAATGCGACCTGTGTCTGAACAGCCAGGTTGCAATAATCCGACCTGAATGCCATTAATACCCAACAATGGTCACTATTCTGGGTCTTGCTATGAAGAAGCGGCAAGAAAAACAACAACCGTGGCGGACAAGGATGTGAAGATCAGTATTTATGTTTAACTATCTTTAAAAGATGGTGTTTTTATGTTTGGGAAAGATCGCTAGATGCGCTCTGGCACTAGCATCCATTTTTACTTCCATAAACACAAACAATGCTGGCCTGTGATGTCATGGCATCCTCTACTGCGCATGCAGGACACTTTTGTCGTATGCCTGCAGTTCACACAGGAGATCACATAAAAGTTGCATATATTTGTAAATGTGAACAGCAATTCAAAAATTTCACAAAAAAATCGGAATTGAGCATCAAGGCCTGCAGTGTAAACAAATCCTTAGATGCAGCTCTTCTCTAACACACCTGAATCGAAAGACTCAATCCCCTCATTTAGCCCAGCAGAGGCATGGTAACGAGCCAATCATTTGATTCAGGTGTGTTAAAAATGGGGTGCATCCAAATGTTGCAGGAGAGTAGCTCTTGAGGTCTGAACTTAAGCACCCTACCTTAGAGGGTCTTGAGCTGTCATTGTACCGAGATTCAAGACACCCTGTGGCAGATGAAGTGAAGCAACACCACTCACATTATGCTATGGGAATAATTAGGGGTTCAGAGTGAGTGAAGTGGTGTTAGCTAAACAAAGTGAGTAGAAAATAATAGAGTTAGTTGCTGGATTAGATGTATGAGAGGGCAGAGGTTGATCTTCTGTTTCACAGCACGTTTTGCCCTGAGATTAGTTGTAAGAGAATTAGAGCACATTTTCTTCTTCTGAGGCCTAGTTGTCATTTCGGTAAAGCAAAATACTCAGGAGGCATTTCTAAAATATGGATAATAAAGGTTGAATACAGATATACTTAACAGAAACCTTGTATTGCACTTTCCTGACCCAATTTTTCCCATCCCTCACTCTTTATGGGAGCAAGCTTGTTTCAATGCAAATCAATACCATACCGTTCTTTGAAATGATTTGTATTATGAGTTTTCTTACAGAAGCACACCCTGAAATAGAATCAGTTGCTCCCTCTCCTCCCTCAGATCTGTCACATCAAAGCAGGTTTTACCCTGATTAAGGCTGTTCTCCCCACCACGTGCCGTCTCACGTCTTGCTGGCGCTCCCTCCCCAGCAGTGCGCATTTGTGTCTTTGTGAGGCTGCCCGATTCTAGGTCCCACAGTGAAGGAAACTACCTCTAATTGGTCACAGAGAATCGGCACATTTCAGCAGTACTGTACATCTGCTTTCTGTGAGGGTGACAAGTCTTTTTTTCAAAGAATACCTCCCTGCTGTGTGCTCCATGCTGATACTGTTTTTGATTGAACTCATTCTGCTTTTAGTGTGAGAAGCTATGTGTTCACAAAGTAAAGGAAGACTGTATGATGTTATTTCTACATGCACAAAAACTGGTTTATCTTGGCAAGGGGAAAATCTGTGCATATTCTATGAAGCTATCACTTCTTTTGTTGGACTTTGTCAATGTTATATGATACACAAACTTTTTTTTTCTTTCTGAAATGAAATCATTAATTCAGAATTCTCATAAGTCCAATTAGGATCTCTGATAGGCTTTTATATTGAGCCTTGGCTAGTTTACATTACAAAATCTACATGACCAAAGCTACTCCTTAACAGGCTTGCAGCTGTTACTGCAGCACAGTTTGCTTCTACAAAGTAAAAACTGAGGGAGACTCAATGCATACACTAAACACACTTATTTGTATCATTGTATTAGTATTATTTGTATAATTTTCCCTACATTTCTCAATTATCGTATTCTTTGTGTTGGTCTATTGCATTAACTCCTAATTAAATCAGTTTGCTGTTGCAATGGGGCAGAGGAAGGTTTTTAAATACCTTTACACTGCATATGTGACACCAAATGACTCAGCGCTACCTCTGTTCATTCTAAAAACAGAGTTAAGTGAGCGGTATACACTTTGAAATAAAGCTGACATTTAAGCTTTAAGGTCTAGACTGCTTTCTTGCTGCTCTTTGTTCCACATAAGGGCTGGCCATAAAGACCAAGAGCAAAGTAACAGAGGATAATGGGCAACGCACACCAAAACACACACATTAAACATAAAAATCCTTTCACACACTTACCATGGGGGTTACATCATCTTTATGACCTCATCTATTCAGTGATACTGATTATCTCCCTCTTGGGTCCCACTTGACCTGTGATGAAACCTCTTTGTATTAAAGTCCTAGTAAGCAATTTTCCCAGTAACATTATTTAGTAATATGTAGTTTTAGCTGTGTGATAGTTGACTTTGTGCATCTAAATTACACCAAGCTTTGTGTTTGTGTTTTTTATTCTCTCTACTTCTCTAGATGTTTGTATAGATTTAAAGACAAAGTAAAATGTTAGATGGATCTGTGATTTCAGCAGAAGAAAACACATTTTTTTATGTTTTGAACCTATATCATGTCATAATTTTGCACTACAAACTCCAATGTGATATTGTTTTTCCCTTTTATGGTTTTATGGCCTTTTGTTTATAGACAGGCAGAGTGCAAGATTATCAATTAGTCAAATTCTGGGAAATAAAATACAGATACACAAAAACACCAGAAGATTTTTTTGTAAATACATTATTGTATTTATTTTCATGGTAAAGCTTTGAGTTTCCTTTTCTCTGCAATAAAAATTGTGTACTATCTGCTGCCATCTGCTGGACAAATAATGCAATTACTGATCATTTTAAATAATCTCTTGATTCCTAATTCCCTTTTAGCTTAAGGAACATACATTTTTTTTATTCAAAATACTTAAACCCAACCTAAGACCCCTTTTATTTTTTTCATGTTATATTCATATTTTAGGTAATAGATCCCTATAAAGTAGTGGATAGGTGAAACCAGAAGAAAATGTTATATGGTTTTACATCACTTTTACCATAAAGAAATCGTAAAAGGGATTCCAATTGTATTTATTTGATTTTACTATGTTTTAATTTATTTGATTTTTCTATGTTTTATGAAAGCTTAATAAGTATAAGGGATATAGTTTTTTTTTTTTTTTTTTTTACGAGGGCTTAATTTCTGAAATAATATCCAAATCTGAACATCTCAATAAGCCTATCCAACAAGTGTGACAAACATACTAATAACTTACACTTAGGCCCCATTTGGAGGAACCCGGTGTGAATATATCAGACAAACTTCTCTGTCAGATAAAGGTTTCTGTTCAGGCAAAGTGGCTGGAAAACTCACTACACTGAAAAACCTGCTCCAAGAGTAGAAAAGTTAAAAACCACCCCTTTGGCAGCGTTGTCTGGACAGACCTAACCCCTTAACTGCAAACTGGCATGTTGCTGCATGTGAGGCAACATAGCACTTGCTCTCACCTTAACATATATATGTTAAGACAAGCAAAAACAATGGCACACTTCAGGGTTGCAGCAGTGCTTTAGATGCTATTCAATAAAGTTTGAATTTTATAACATTGGATGGAGCTTTAAAATAATATGTCAACAAAGAAATTAACATTTGAGCTTATAACATGTTCAAAATAATTCAAAATTAATAAGACTTTACACTTATTTTTCTCTCCACTGAAATTACTATTTTGAATTGCACTACTATCTGGGAAACCCTAGATGGGGTTGGGGGGCTGGGGATAGAAGGATTACATAGGAATGTCATAGTGCCGACATAGACATAAATAAAACCTGAGTCTCCTGGTAACCTGGTATGTTTTCTGAGAAGCTTAATGTTTAGTAACCTGCCAATTTGAGCAACCACAATGTACAACATTTTTAAATACCTCCTTGTATTAAAGTTACTGTTAAGTAAACACTATAGTTACCTCTATTGCTCCATTAAGGATTTTCTTGAGTAATCCAAGGAAATCCTTCTAGTGGGTACTTTCAAAGCCCATCAAATACACTGCTGACGGATCTATATTTGTGGTAACAAAAAAAAAAAAAAAAAAAAAAGGAAACGACGCTGAAGCGATACTATGCTCTGAGTGACCCAGGAGGCCTGTTGAATCTCTGATCTGTTCTATGCTCACTGATCCAGAAACTGAGCTGATGATACTCTGTCCGGATCAAACAATAGCCCAAGAAGACAGCCTGCATTTGGGGGATAAGGCTCGGACACGTGGAAACAATCTCTCCTGGCAGCATGTTCGGGTCATCAGTGGCATATTTGATGTTCAGAGCATGAGCCAAAGCATGTCTCCAGTGCTAACTGAGAAGTGAGCGGCTTGTGCGACACATTTTTCAGCTAGCTCTTTCCTGTTGGGAATGGGGACAGGCTGGGGACACTTAGTCTGTGTTCAAATTGTTGAAGCGATTTGCCAGAGGACTAGAGTCAAACACATCCTGTTCATGTGTTAGTGATTATCCACTCCACATCCTTAATAACATCCTTGATAGATTACTGTGATTCTAATCCCCTAAGATTTGCAAACAAATGAGCTCAGAGGGAAACGGATATTTTTCCTCAGGTTGTTGAGAGAGGATTATATGTTCTTTCATCCTTCAACTCTTCTCTAAACCTGCTCCCATGTTTTCTTTTCTCCCTTTCTTTTTGGTTCAACAGGTATGAGGCAGAGAATGCATTTTTCTTCAGTCTCAACTTAGCTGACTTCAACATCATAGACACTCTGGGAGTTGGTGGCTTTGGACGCGTTGAGCTGGTATGAAACAGTAACATTAACATAAAGAATTAAGATCCATAATGATTATCTTTAAAGCTGTCGGGCAAGCTCTACAGATCCAAACACATAGACCATTATGCAATTCTTTTGGCCGCAGGTTCAGCTTAAGAGTGACGAGAACAAGACCTTTGCCATGAAGATCTTGAAGAAGCGACACATTGTTGACACAAGACAGCAGGAGCACATTCGATCTGAGAAGCTCATAATGCAAGAGGCCCACTCTGACTTCATTGTCAGGTAGATACCCTGAACGACCTTTTTAAAAGCAATGCAGAACATAAAATGCTCATGTTTTAATTATTTGTTAACTTGCAGACAGATATCCAATGGTTTGAGTATAAAGATTTTACTATTTTAACTCACAAAGCATGACTTTGCTATTGAGGTTTTCATTTGGTGAATGTCTAAATTAACTGCAGTTAGAATGATGCATCTGAAACATATAAGTAACCAAAGAAATCATGAAGTTAGGAATCGGTGCATCTCCATCTTCAGAATACTTTTCAAAGGAGTCGTGTCAGCAGAGCTGTGCGACCCATGGATGGTTCCATACCCACTTACTCCATATAATAAAACAGCTCTTTAAAACTTCAGGAAATGTTCTTTTATGCATTGATTTTAGGTTAAACTTTCACAACAGCAGTAAGCTTTTGCTATTCCCCAGTTAGATACTATTTCATGTTTCTGTATTTCTTAGCTGTTAGAGATAAACTGTATTGTGTTTGTTTGTTTTTCTAGACTGTATAGGACATTTAAAGACAGCAAATACCTCTACATGTTGATGGAAGCATGTTTAGGAGGCGAACTATGGACCATACTTCGAGACCGGTAGGACCTTTTACACCAGATCTAATTACGGTAGTTTGGTTGCATCATTGATGAATGAGACAGAATGAAATGCAATACAATTGTTTTTTCAAGGCCTTTGATTATTTCACTGTGCCACCGTGAAATTTGTCTGCAAACCCTTTTTTGATGCTGTCTGAGTAAAAATGTCTCAGGCTGATCAACATTAAGCTCTGTTTTTCTGTTGTGTATTTAGGGGATCTTTTGAGGACTCGACCACCAGGTTTTACACGGCTTGTGTGGTGGAAGCCTTTGCTTATCTGCATTCCAAAGGTATTATCTACAGAGACCTGAAACCAGAGAATCTTATATTGGACCACAGGGGTTATGCCAAACTGGTAAGGAATCAGTATGTAATACCTACCAATGATACAATTTCTCTTTTTATTTATTTGAGTAAATCATATCAAAAGTAAAAAATTAGATTTTCGTTTTTAAATTTAAAAAGAAATATGAACCCACCAGTAAAGGCTCTGCAAATTAAAGAATAATATATGATGAAATGTAGATTTCATTGATATGTAATGTTTCCACCACTTTTTCCTATCTCCTCATAAAGAAACTGCTTTATGAATTAAAACACCTAACTGGTTTCTTTCAGTATTTGAAAAACAGCAACACAGCTGCATTGTGGTATCTTGCAATAAATGTGTGATTTACTCAAATAATTTTTCACAGCACTTTAGATGTTAAAAGAATTGCAATTGACAGCGTTTTCCGTTTCTTATCAGGTGGACTTTGGCTTTGCCAAAAAGATCGGATTTGGAAAGAAGACCTGGACCTTCTGTGGGACACCGGAGTATGTAGCACCAGAGATCATTCTAAATAAAGGCCATGACATCTCAGCCGACTACTGGTCTCTTGGAATCCTCATGTTTGAGCTGTTGACCGGCAGGTACATAACAGCCTGGAGCTGTTTGTCTGTTCATAAAAAGAAAAGTCACCTATTTTGTAAAGCTAATAACAACTTTAGCTGATTTTGACTTCTCTTTAAAAACCTTAATTGAAATGTTGCAAAACACTCCAAGTACACAAGAGAGGAGTTGCTATGGAAAAATTAAATCAATATAGTTCAATACTTTCAACTCTCTGTAGCAACTTATATTAACAGCACGGTTAGTAAATTTGCATTATTGACTGCAAATAGTAGACTTCCTGTGTATTACCTAGATAATGCTTTTAAACCCCACACTGGGACATAAAATATGCACCATTTAGCCTTCTTTACACTGAAAGAAGTTTGCTGAGGGGTATTCAGGTTACCCAGACCTGGTGCCTTGTGAAAGAAGACTAATCGGGCAAACAAAAAATCTGCTCAACCCTCTCACCAGATAATATGTCTTTGTTTACCATTTCCTGGTGCAACATACAGAAATATTCAATTTTGGGATTGGATTATTACATCAAGCTAATAAAAACATAGATGATACAGAATTTAGGTTTAATAAAATGTAAGTTTAATACCTGCTTATATATTATTTTCAAAATGTGCTTTTGGTATGAAAAACAAGCCTTGTCTATTGCAATATTTAGGTTTACTGAATATTAATTACAATGCTGCATTTGTTAGAAATTATTAATTAAAACACTATTATTAATATTTGACAGATGCATCTCGAATTGTTTGTTTTGATACACACCTATTTGCCCAAAACTTATATTGGCCTCTTTTATATAGCCCTCCTTTCTCTGGCCCCGATCCAATGAAAACCTACAACATCATCCTGAGAGGCATTGATATGATTGAATTTCCAAAGAAAATCACCAAAAATGCTGCCAACCTTATCAAAAAGCTATGCAGGTAAGAGTCATTACTTCCAACCATTATTGTTTGTGCATTTTATTATTTGCTGAATCTTGCCATTTTTCCCCTTTAGGGATAATCCTTGTGAAAGACTTGGAAACTTAAAAAATGGTGTCAAAGATATCCAAAAGCACAAGTGAGCAAACTTCCATAGAGAACTTCCTGTTTTTGAGTTTTGTGTTTCTGTGTTATATTAACTTCTTGCTGTTATTCTTTCAGATGGTTTGAGGGCTTTAATTGGGAGGGTTTAAAAAAGGGGACATTAACACCTCCTATAATCCCTAATGTGAGTGAACTGCTGAAATTCATTCTCATTAAAGCATTTCTCTTAGTTGTGCTCACATTGTCCTCTCAAATAGCATCATATTCACAAAATACCTTGAGTGTGTTTTAAATTTTATTGTTATTTTCTATCTGTCCCATAAAGGTCACATCAGCAGTCGACACGAGTAACTTCGACAACTTCCCTGAGGACAATGAGGACCCGCCTCCCGACGACAACTCTGGCTGGGATGTCGACTTTTGAAATTTGCCTCTAGCCACTAAAAACCAAAAGCAACTTTTCTTTTGCCGGCTTTTATTGGCTTGGAAGCCATCTTTGAGGACCTCGGTGTTTGTTCAAATAATGCATTAAAAATGAAAGAGGAGATATGGAAATAGTGATGGATGGCAAACCCTCTGGGTCACCGATATGCCTTTTTTTCACTGTGGCTCTGGATAAAGCATTTATAATGGGACTGCTGTAGCACTTCCTCAGTGTTGTCTTTTACTCAATTATATAGGTAAAGAAAGCACAGGGATTCTTTGACATTAACATACGTACAGCATAAGCTGATACTGGAGCCAGTTTTTTCCCCTGTAACAGGGGAAGGTCGTTAGTGGATGTATAAATGTGTAATAACTTATGTAAGTTTGAAATCTAGGGATAATAGGACAATGGGAAACATGGAGGGTCGCTCAGAAATGGAGCAGTCTTCTAGTCGATTTTCTTTACAAAGTCTGTATCCCTGCAAATAAATCTATTTGCAGGGCTTTGGGATAGCTTACAATGTTAGTGCAATTGCTGCCTGTTTTTTTGACATGCAGCTACTTGTTACAATCTATGATACTTTCCACAGATGTACACACTCTAGTTTCCAGTGATCAAGTGCTCAAGACTAACTTGAATGTCAAAGATTCTCTTCTTATTTAGCATAGCTGCCTAGCACAATGCTATGTGTGGCACATAGTGTTTAAACATACAAGTTACATTGTCATACATGAACACAACCCTTAGAAATGAAATACATAGTGCACCTCCTATGAGATTTATATTCCTTGAAAAGCACAAAAAGTGTGCATCAGTGAAGAGATGTGACTCTAAGTGCCCCGCTTAAAGCTTGTTGATCACACACCTGCACATATGACAGCTTGGCTAGTATCTCCATGGAACAGTGTGTCATTATGCACTTAAGACCATTAACTGAAAAGTCTGTTTTACACCTCATTTTGAGTCAATCCTTTATTTTTGTTTTTTTCATCACAGCTACATTCTGTTTTTATTTTTTTTATTTTTTATTTTTTTTTGTCTTTTTCGGCCCTGTGGCCTGCCACCAAACCCAGATGTTTCCTGTATGCTCTTGTACAGCTCTGAAATAACTGTGAACCTGGTTTCAGTGTCTTTGGTGCTGTTGGTGAATTATGATCAGCGATGTTGAGATGATAGTCCTGGTTATTGTTTTGGTATTGTAATTTTCTATTTTTTTTTCTTTTTAGTGCCAGGTTATGTTGTAATGTAATTGCCGTCATTCTTTAGAGAAATGGAGACTTGTAAGTTTTCAAATTTAAGTGAAGGTCTTGGTGGTATTTTAAACTTCCAATTATTGTAATTTGACTATCTCTCATTGTTGGAGTCAAGTGTTACCAAAATCTCTCTGAGAAGCAGCTTTATAACTTAGGTGGCTTCCACAATATAAATGCAGACACCTTTGCAGACACAAGGTAAAGATATCTAAAAAGCCTTAAAAAATTCACCATAGTCTCAGAATTACCAATAAAAAAAAAATCCAACCTTTAATTTGATTTAATTTATTTACTAGAATATAGACTCGTAAAGAGATTCTCCTGTGACCAATCCTCTTTGCACACTATGTCCTGGTTGTCTACAGTCTTTATGCCCTATCTTATGCTTTTAATTCTTTAGCTAACTTCATAGGTTTTCATAGGATTCAAGCCTGGACCTTGTGCTAGCCATGGATGAAACTTAATTTTTCCTAGTGAAAATTTTCCAAGTTCCCGTCTCAGTGCACCTCTGGAGTTCATTTAAATATCGTGGCATTTCAAAGATTCAGGAATTCATATAAAATCGTTCTGTTCGCTCTAGAAATGGAACAGTCCAACTACATCACAGATCCTCCACTATATTGACAGTGGGTATAAAAAGCTTTCCATGTATCAGCTGTTGCAAACCTAACCTACCAATAATCCTTGTTGATGTATTGCTGGATCTTAAAGCCAATGTGAATATTACCTAAAGTCCATGAGGTGGCGATCTCTCACTTCCCTGCTAACTTTTTACTGTGGCAGGTAAACATGGAGTCCCCATCTTTACTAGTGGGAATTTATGCCATATCTTTACACACACCAAAAACGTATGGTTTAGTATTTCCTAGAAACCATAATCAGCTTCAACAACAGAAGAGTTTTAAGAAAATGCTTCCATTAATTTACTTGTAAAAGGTTTGTAGAAATACCAACGATGGTGCAACCAGGATTTCTTTAAACAACTACTTTACTTTATGTAGTTTTTACTGACCAAATTAAATGTTGGATTTTCTTACCTTTTCAATTATAAGATTCTTCTACTGCAAAAGATGAAGCATTTTTTTTTAGTTTTTTTTTTACTCATCTCCATCTTAGGCGTAAACATTTTGGTTTACGTATTTATTTGACACAGACGGCCGAAGAAAAGAAGGAATACTTCTTTTATAAAGACTCATTTTTAATTACAATTCAAAGTTCACCCGAAATGCTACACCTGTCACAGTTCAAAATCTGAAAATAAAGTCAAACAGAATGTAAGTGCCTTAAGTCAACGGCATAAAAAATAAGCATCACATGACCTTTGAAATGCTGCATGAACAAATAAACACCTCAGAACCATATGTTATCTTTAACTGCTGCATTTTACCATTGTTATAATAAACTGCTTAGTACCTAAAAAGGAGAAACTAATTGAAGGATCAATGAAGATAGATTCAAGAAATGTACTCTTCAGGATAAGATAAATTTAATAAAGAAACTGAAGAAAATAAATGTTAACCAGACTCAGCTGCAATTACATTGTTTTCTATTTTTCTGTGATCTGAAGAAATCAACCACTTATGGCCTGATATAAAACACCAATGAGCAATAATGGTGATTCAAAGGGTCCTTCCATAACCACTCACAGCTAAGAAATCTTCATAATCAGAGGGTAGGGATAATTCTCAGTTAACATAGGATATGTAAATTTAACTCTAAGTTTGTAGTTTATTAGAAAATCAAATATCAAACTTACCCAAAGGAATTCAAAGACATTTACTAAGTTTCACCTTAAATGATAGAAAACAGAATAGAATGGAAATCTAAATTGTGTGCATATGTTTTATGTACTCTACTCTTTGGTTGTTTGTTTGTCACAATGCCTTATGTTTTTCACCTCTTTCCAATTCAATGTTTTTTTTTCTTCTAAAAAGCCTTCTGCTATGTTACAGAGTATCAGCCTTGTGTTTTGCTGTTTTTTTTTTCTTCTTTTTGCTGGTATTTACTTTTTCAGAGTGCCACGTGTAAGACTTTTTAAAAAAATAGAGAGTAAAAAAAGAATACATTTGAGTCACGTTTGTCTGTTATTTTTGTCCTCACTGCTAGGGCATGATATCATCACAAAGAAATGAGTTCCAGTGATAATGTGGAGATCTTTTACTAATGATGCATATTAATCTTTTTGTAGATGTAGATGATGCATAACTAGCAAGGAAAATGGATAAAGACAGGAATCTGATGGGGGTTTAATAGCACCTTATCTGTGATGTCTTGATGACTGGGTCAGGGTGTTTCCAGAGAGTTTAAAATGAATCCAAATTTCAAGGCATTTTAAATGTTATGCTTTGAGGTTGCATTGCTGCAGACCAGTCAAGGTGTCCGTTCTGACACATTTTTATTGGCAGGCAACAGAAATAAGGATGATGGATGGATTGGATACAAGTGCGACACCAGTACAGGTTGTAGTCTAAGTCTAAGGATGCCCTATAAGTCAAGCAAATGGAGACAACTTAATGATTTGAGAAAAGTTATTCTGGGCAATCACCTCTGTTTTAAAAGCAAACACAAAACAAGTTATTTTTGTAGTAACAAATCCTTTATTAAATTATTCCAAAAGCCTTGTTGAAACCAATGTGCAGACTCATATTGCCACCTGACTACAATATACAATTACTTTAAATCAGCACCTTAATATAGGCTATACTTGCTAAAAGATTGGGTTTTTTTTTTTGTTTGTTTGTTTGTTTTTTTTTTTTTTTTTTTGCTCTTTATAATTTAGAGAATATTCTCTACAAAACACTTGGGACAATTGTTCTAAATGTGTTATATAACACATTTTGAAAGTGAAGGAAAGAAGTTAAATTTTATCCTTGCAGTTCACCCGAGCTGCCGCAGGGGGGAGCGCCTTGTCTCCCAGAAAATCTCCCAGAGAAAGACCCCGGGTCTTCTCTGAACTGTAATAATCCGTCCTAGAGTTAATTACATCCACTTAGAAGTAAATTGAGATGATTCAGCTCTTTGTTATTCGCACAACAGAAATCCGTTTAGAGCAGGGACAGGGGATTGGCTTTAGCCATAACAACAGGGTGACACTTCTAAGAGATCAAAGGAGAGCTACGTGCATCAAAGGACCTCCACCTTACCTGCTCTGACATTTAGTAAGGTGAGGAAAAAAAGGCCCACTTCAAAAGATATGCATCAATTCAAACCCGCAAAGTGCTGTGCATTTGTGTGATGTCCAAGGTCGGATCATGCCTCCTCACAAACACTCAACCCCATCTCACACATGTTTGTATCAAGAGTGACCAGCAGATGACGTTCAAGAGCGGATCAGCTGGGATAATAAAAACGTTTTTATTTGCCTTTTGCTGAAAACATTTTTATTTACACCCATCAAACCAGAATCATAACCGAAAAATTGAGAAGCAGTATTCTCATGCGTAAAAATCAGGGTTACATGGGTTCTAACATTGGTTTACCTTTTTAGGTTGGTATCTTTATCTTTTTTTACCTCTCTTTTCTTTATCTGCCTTTAAAATGCAACTGCCATACAATTTTATGCTTTTCTTTTCTAATCTATTAGAGTAAATCTCTTTATTTTCTTGACACCCAAACCTGATAGGCCTCTACAAATAAAGTTTCCCCAAGAGCCTATCGGGATGCTGGAGCCCGAACAGGGCATGGAGCAGATCAGAGTCTCCTTTAATCTCAATGTGCCAGTCACTCCTTAAAGGCTTCCCCCATTAATTCGGTAAACTATTCACACCTCTTAATGCCACTCACATCCTAAACACATTGATGTCCACGGCTGGTGTAATCAAGCACACTTTGGTGGATAATTGCAACCTTTTGCAAATCACAAGGATCAAATAGAGTGGTTAATGGACCAAAGTAACTTCAATCTCTATGGTCCTGAAAGTGCCAAAGGGTAGACCCTTCTTGGATGTCAAAGAAGCTGAAACCACACAGAATCAAATAAGCCCACATGTGGACGTTTGTCAAGACGTGTTATAAATAAACTGCTATTAAAATTAGAGATAAAGTTTTTTTTATCCTAAGAAAATAATTTTTTTTTAGAATTGCAAGGTCCTTTTTTTAATCCCGTTTAGTAGGCTACCTGTAAAATTGCATGAGAATCCAAATTTACAATTAAAAACGTTTTATTTGTAAAGAGGGCGATTAAAATATTCCAAACATAACTTCAAAGCTTAGTTGCGTTTGTTTTGTACTTAAACAAAACAGATTCGATTTCAAATGCTGGTATTAATTTAGTGAGGAATAGTTTGTGGTGAAGTTTATGGATGAATGTTTCCTGCGCATCGTTGATGGGTATTCAGACAGACTCTGCGGGTCATTATCATTCCACAAACACTGCGGAGCCTCGATCTGTGCAAAGGATGGCTATTTCCGTACAGCAGGGCTGTTTGAAATTCCACCCCCTCCGCCTTTGTTGTGCACAGCAAGGGGCGGGAAGACAAACAGGTCTACATGTATAAAGAGATCATCCTCAAGACTTTTTAGAGTCAGGAGGCATCCGACCGTTGCGCCATAACTGTCTGGGAAACTTTGGGATATCAGCGCCTTTTGGACTTTGTCACTTTTCACCATTCAGCAGAAAATAAAGGATTCATTTTTTCTCTTTTTATGTCTGTTAAAGAGCTGAAAAGAAGCATCATGCTGATGCCCTTAGCGCACCACATCTTGGCTTTACAGCTCATTCTGTTTGGATACTGTGGAGACGTTTACGCGGGAGCAGCCCTGAAGAACTCCAACGCGATAAAAACCTTAACTGGTGCGGGCAAAAGTGCGGACACAGTTAGTCCAAGTCCGCGCACCTCACCACCCGGTGGCACGGGGCACAGATCACCCATGGATACTTTGCAGGTAAGGGAACATTTCTCTGTATACAGTTCAAAGCTGTGCGTAAAATCACGCACGGCTTATATGTTAAGCTTTTTTTCTGCTGCAGCAGTCAGGTGGTTGCACGGATGATGAGGACTGCGGAGGTGATGAGTTCTGCAATGACGCCCGGGGTGTTTGCCTGCCGTGCCGCAAGTGCAGGAAGCGCTGTGTAAGGGACTCCATGTGCTGCGCAGGAAATCGCTGCATCAACGGTGAGCAGGAAATTCTATCCTGACATAAGACATATCATGACATATAAGTGATGCACCTGAATCAAAACTGTTCATTAATGGTGAATTTCAATGATAACTGTTTATTTGCTCATTGGTTGTCTATTGTGACAAAGTTTTTTAACAATCTCATTCCTGTGTAGGTGTTTGTCAGGTAAATGACATCCATAACTCAGACTCTTTTGTCACCACTGGCTGGCATAAACACAACAACACCATGGAGCATCAAGGAAAGAGAACACCCACAGCCCCTGGCTTTCAACTAAACTCTGTCAAAGGTGTGTTACCTGTCCCCACTAACAAGTCTTGTGTCACAGAGTAAACAGGAGGTTTTTAGAAATCTTAGAATATAACAAATTTCAAATCTGCTTCTATCTCCAGGTCAGGAGGGAGATGCGTGTCTAAGATCCAGTGACTGCTCTGAGGGTCTGTGCTGTGCCAGACACTTTTGGTCCCGCATCTGCAAGCCCGTGCTGACAGAGGGCCAGGTGTGTACGCGTCACCGCAGGAAAGGCAACCATGGTTTGGAGCTGTTCCAGCGCTGCGACTGTGGTGAAGGCCTGGTGTGTCGGCAGGAGAAAGGAGAGCGAGATCAGGGTGTCAGCAGGACTGCAGCGCGGAACCTACACACCTGTCAGAGACGCTGACACAACCACACGGACAGAGAGACAGAAAAATAAAAACCCACATCCACTCACACACAAAGACACACATCGATAAATCAGTGACAGACACTGCAGACACTGACAAATCCTCCTCTTCAGACCTTGTGTTCACCAAAGATGCTGACACACACCAGACAGCCTACACCTGAGACATTCTTTCCTGCCGAAATTGCTGACAACAATACATCACCTGGAAGGATGGACATGAATCCTGGAAAGTGATACACCCACAGGGACACAACATTGTAAGGCCAGCTTTTCCTAAACCCCATCAACAGGTGGAGAATCAAAAAACAGAAAGTGACATTCCAGAAGGATGATTCGAGTCGTCAGTGGCAGAACTGCTTTTGTTTCTCTTTTTTGGAACTTCAAGCCACTCTTTTTGCAGTAAATTACTGTATTGTAAATAATCCTGCAGGTGGCACTTATTTGTCCCATTGATTTAAATCAACAGTAGTATTATAAAAGACATGGAGATGCATGTTTTGTAAATATGTTACATAAAAAGTTTAAAATATATTGTTTTATAAGAAACTATGTAAAGAAAATGTGAATATTTGTTCTATTAAATGTCTCATCATAACCTGGCTCTTGCTGTCCATATTTTCTGTTTTTATATGCAACAGTTATTTAAACTGAAATTAATTTGGTTTAAACACAGTCTAAAAAAATAAATAGCAAATATCTTATTCTTTCAGAAGAAAGTAAAAAATGCTTGTCGCCCAACTTCTAGTCTAGCATGAACGGCAGGTTGAAGTGCAGTAGGCAGCCCTCCTGGTATTTTTAGTGTAAATCCAGTCTTAGAATTTATTATGATCTTAGAGATTGTATTTTACTTTTTAAGCAAATTTGATGAACATTTTAAACTTTTGTAATGACTATAAATACTTGCTTGGTTAATCTGAACAGGTTAATCAGGTTTGATAAAGACTTCAAACACTCTAAAACTACAGCAGTTTTAGAAATATCACTTATTTTATTGAAAGAAGAAATCTATTTACTCTGTGTTATTTTTTTAAGTGGATTAACAATAAAACCAAACTATTTGGCACAGAAAATGGAGTAAGTAGGAGGCACATCGTCATTGATCTTTAAATGGGAAACATGTATTGAAAAGAGAAAAAGCAAAAATATTTCTAGCCCACACGATTTTCTAATATAAATAATATAAAATAACAAGAATAAATAATAGGAAATATCATAGAAAATAAAATATATATATATTTTTTGTTTTTTTTATTTGTATGATGGTTAACATTTCTCTAAATATTTTCTCTAAATCAAATGGCAAACTGATTATACCTATTTGAGATTAGATCAATTGATAAACTACAAATCATCATCCTCTTAAATAGAACAAATTTCTGCCTTCAAGTCCATCTAATCTGGATTTATACTAAATGAAGACGCCAAAAAAGATGATCTACTACAGGTTAAAAACCATGTTTTTACAAGCTACGGTTGGAGAATAAAAAGTCCATTGAGTTGTAAGTGCTATTTCTAAGTGGGAACTACATCATAGATGATAAACACTGGAAAGGATGTGGACATATCAAATGTTAACTCCAAAGTGATAATAACAAAGTAAGTGTGTCGCAGTGAGTGTTTGTAACCTAAACCTTTGGTCTTAGCTAGTTTCTAATTATGACTTATTTATATGTAGCCGAACAGATAGCTACCTACTCAGGTCAAAGCCTCTAATTACTTCATCTGTCTCAATCTACACCAGCATTCATGAAATAAGGTGCAGAACAGCCTTTCCTTTTTTTGTGTGATGCAACCCCAAAAAGGATCTCGCCTCCCAGTCTCTGTAATCTCTCCAGCGGCACAGCATGGCCTGTTTCCTGACATGTTGTGCAATGTGTGTGCTCTAATATATAGACTATAAAACCTCTCAAATGCACATGGGTGCCTGTAATTAGAGCCATTTAGATTAGAAGATGGTGAGAAAATGACTGTACTTTTTGCTTGATGTTCTTGTCAGATCAAAGGGAAAAGGAGACTTCATATCTGAGTGAAGCAGGTTACCTATTTACCTGTTTAGATATATTGAGACACAGATGGGAAGTTCTGCAAAACAAAAAAAAAATACATAATTTTAATAAAAATGGTGTTATTTATAATAGCTTTAGAATATAATATTAGCTATTTTTTAATATACTTAGTTTTGAGTTTGTGTTAAAAGCCTGTAAACAGTCAATATCTTACCTGAAATAATTCTATTTCAACACTTTTTGCAAGGCTAGTTTATTTAGACAGAAAGTTATGGTTATAATGAAAGTACGAAGTGTTGTGTTATAAAGGCCTTTGAAGCACTTATGGTCAATGTAAATGTATATTAGAGAGACAAGTAAGCAAAAAAAAATCCTTAAAATAACACTACTTAAACTGTTCACAATCACAATGCTTAACTTTTCGAGAGTCTCCAACAAACATGTTTATGTCTCATTCTAAAAGTTGAAAGACTATAATAATTAGTATTTTTACTAAGTAAAGGGAGGCTGGAGGCAAAGTTGCTTCAAAAACCTTCTTGTTTGAAACATACTTTAATGTGTTTCAAGTCAGAGCACTGGGATGATAATATATATATATATATATATATATATATATATATATATATATATATATATA